TATGGGAAACGACTGGTGAAGACGGAGCAGCTAGAAGAGCGAGGTGCGTGAGAACGCTGGGAGCCTTTTTCCACCTGGATCCCCGCTCTTTTTGGCCCTCATGGCCCTCCGTTGTTGCACAGACTTGCCCCCACCTCCTCACCGCCTCGGCCGTATCTAGACCCACAGCTAGTTCCTGATTGGCCCTCTGGCGTTGTGGCGTGGAATAAAAGAGCAGACCACGCTTCAATATTGGGAATAAATCAAAAATATGTGCGTCAAACCTGCGACAAACTAACTGCGACACACTGCTGGGGGAGGATAACCAGCCCCTTAGTCCTCGACTGGCCGACCAGGGTTCGAATCTGATGTCTCTCCCCCTCTCTCATAACCCCTTTTCTGTCAGCCTACTGAAAAAAACAATCCACTAGTGCCGTGAAAACTAAAAAAAAGAAAAACAAATCTGTAGGTATTGAAAAAACTAAATCCAGCTATTGATAATCAACATTTACTTTCCTATTTCTATAAATATATTTATGAAAAAGTGCTATTCACTTTTTTTTCTGAAGCCAAACAGCAAAGTCGTATCATCAGATTCTTCTCTAATAATGAAAGTTCTCCTTTTGAGAAGTTTGCTGTGCATCATGCTCCCATAAGGCACTGACTTAAGAAGCGTGTGAAGTGTGTAAGAACGGCTGGTCCCACACCTGGAACTCTGGAGACAATGGCTGACACACACCTGCAGGAGACAGGAGGGATTGTGCTGCAGGCTGAGCTCACGGCGGCACAGCACAGCAATATTTTCCTGATTTCTATCAACAAAAGAACATCTGTGTGGTGTTATCACGCCGCCGATCCATCACGCTGCTGCTGCAGACGCTCTTTTAGGAGGTCTAGCGTGAATGCATGCATTAACAGACTGTATTGCTTCCGCCCCCTCTTCATATAGTGTTTTCCACTGTTTTTTTTGTGTTTTGCATTTTTCATTCAGACTGTGCATAAAGGAAAGCACAGCCTTAATCCTGCTGACAGAAAGAGAGGGAATTGCTTTGCAGCTAATCTTCTGGGGCTGGTTGTCACTGCAGCGCTGCCCTCTGGGCTCCATAAACCCACCACTCTACAAATGCTCATATTTCTATTTTTAATATGTTTGGAGTTCAGCTAAAGCATATAGAGTTTTCCATCAGTCAGTTTTTCAGTTCTATTCCTGTTTCTGTTAATGCTCATATTACAAATCTTAGAGTAAAATAAATTTTCCAAAGAATGAGCAAATAAACAGAAATAAAAACCCTATCTACATATTTTAGATCCTTCTAGAGTGATGGTGACGGTGAAAACCTCCCTGCAAAGCGCTAACGACCCATCAGGGACGAGCCCAGCTCCATCCAAGGCTGGAACTCAAAGCCAACAAAAGCGAACGTCCCAAAATGGACGGTTCTGGTAGGAAATGAGTGAAACCAGTCCTGAAAGGCCGCTCTGCGAGGAAGAAGTCAATATCTGAAAGTAACATAAAATACCACTTCAGTGTTTTACAAAACCTTAAGTTTTTAGGGATTTGATCCTGTTTATTTACTCATTCTTTAGACAATTTCTTTTTTTGTCTAAGATTTGTAATATGAGAATGAAACCAATGTAATATTTTTGATTTATAAATATGGGCCTACTTAAGGTCGGCAAACTGTTTCTCTAAAGCTAAGTTGTCTGTTTCGCTTTTTCTTTTTTATATATAAATTTTTTCCTTTCATTTTTCCATTAAAGTTAAATCAGAGGCAAAAAGTGTATTTTTTCTGAACAGGATTTTTTCATTTGGAAACTGAAAAATATTATTTAAACTGGAAACAAAAGCTTTGAATCTAAAGGAAAACTGCCTTCAGATTCAATTTCTACAGAAACGCTACCCAGTATGGAGTCAAACTGTAGCCATAATTTCTTTAAAAAAAAAAAAAAATTTAAAGGGAAAAATAAATTTATTTTGCTGTTTGAAATTGCTGACTCTTTACATGGAGGCGGGACTTAGGTGACATGAGATCTGGATTGATGACTGACAGCTTTGGATCCATGGACACCGTATTCTGAGTTGATGCCTTCAGGAACTGTGGGAAGTAAAAAAATCATTTAAAAAAACCATAAAATAAAATCAATAAAGCATCATGTTATTCTATTTCTATAGATTTGACTACAGAATTTCTCAATTTAAATTTTCCGGTCATCAGACTTCGTTCTTGTGTCATCTAAGCCCGCCCCCATGCTGAGAGGCCAGCAGCTTGAAATAAAAAAAAAAAAAAGTTTCTTAAAAAAACATTTTTTTTTTACTTCAAATATACATATTTATATTTTTTGTCAGTTTTAAAAATATTTTTGTTTCAAATCTTTTTCTTTTTGGTTTAATATATATATATATTTTTTTCAGTTTCTTTTGTTTTCAATTTTCAGATTATTTTAGCTTTTTTCTTTTTTAGTTTTAGGTTTTTTTCCCCGGTTTCCAAAACATATATATATATGTTTTTCAAATCTTTTCTTCCTTATGGTTTCAAAAAAAATTTCATTTTCCAGTTTGTTTTTGTTTAATTTCCAGATTATTGTAGTTTATTTTCTTTTTTCAGTTTCAAACATTTTTTTTTTCAATTCAAAAATATTTTTCAGTTTCAGATTTGTTTTTTTTTTGTTCAGTTTAAAAAAAATGTTTTTTGTTCCAAATCTCTTCTTTTCGGTTTCAAAAACACTTCTCAGTTTTTCTGTTTCAGTTTCATCTGTTTTTTTTATATATATATATTTTTGTTTCAAATCCTTTCTTCACAGTTTAAAAAATAGCTTTCAGTTTCAGACATTTTTTGTTACACTTTTTTATTGTTTTCTTTTATGGCCCCTTTGTAGCTCCATACTTTACTTTCAGTCAATATGTTTGGAAGTCTTTAAATAACCTTAGCAGCCATTATTATCCAAATAAATCGAAATAAACTCTATAAATATTATTTTCTGCAACATAAACCCCCCCACCCCCTGCTGGACGGACTCCTCAGGCTGGAAAGCAGAACCTGCTGCTTCTGTTTTTGCTTTGCTCGTTAGCTCCCAGGTGCTTCATCTGGATCTGAAATCTGTCAAAGTGAATCCTGGATGAATCTAAATGCCTCCATGTGCATCTGAAAGCCTCCCTCTGGCTGCCGCCCTTCCTTTTTAACCCTTTGTTGCTGTTTCTCTCCACCAGGCGGGTATTTCAGGCGTTTAGACGCGTCTTTGCAGCAGCAGGCTGTAGTCTGGCAGTTAGAGCTGGAAGTGAAAACAGGTTATTTGCAGTCATGTAAAAACTGCTGCCTGAAATAGACGTCTTTCTTTCTTTCTCTCTGTGTTTTTTTGTGTGTACTTGAATAATTCATACTTTTCTGTTGAAAGTGAATGCCTTTGGAAACGCTTGTATTTGCTACAAGGACATAACGGCATTCACTGCTTTTCACTTCTGTTTTATTTATGTAACACCGAGTCGTGCATCCTCCCAGAGCTTTTACTAGCTGCTCTTCACACGTACGGCTGAAACCAGAGATTTAAAAAAACATTTAATCAGACTCAACTTTCCCTGCTTAAGGTCGGTTGGGACTGTTAAAGTGATTTTTATTGCTAGAGATGAGAATATTGAAATAGTTATTTGCTAGATTTTAAAAGACTTTCTTGAACTTTTTGAATTTAAACATTTTAGAACTGTTAATTTTTGTCAAAAGCCTCAGATTACTGATGTCTTCTAGGACAGAGATCAGCAGAAGTCTCCCTTAGCATGATGCTGCCACCTCTCTATCTTAGATGCTTAAGCTTCCAATCTTTTATTTTTAAAGTAAAACTGATCAAAATAAACCCTACGTCTATTTTAGCTTATATCTCCATACTAAAGGTTCCTCTTCCTCACTTAGCGGCCTTTCAGGACTGGTTTCACTCATTTCCTACCAGAACCGTCTATTTTGGGACAGAGAACGCATCTCGTTCATGAACAGCATCACATTAAGGTCCATCATGTTTATTTTAGGATTAGTGGATACTTGTTGAGGACCCAAATGCAGAGCTGAAGAGGAAGAGAAGATGTTTTGCAAATTTTAATGAAGAAATACAGAATCCATAATCGAGAACTGATCAGTATCAAAAATCTAGAAGAAACTAGTGACACCGTCAACTTTTAAGGGCTTAAAAGTTTTTGATAAAGATTCTAGTTAGAGTGGCTCAGGTTATCCTGATCTATCTCTATAGTTCTGCTGCTATAGGCTTAGACTGCTGGAGGACATAGGGACCCCTTTTTCATCATTCTGCTTCATTCTATCTCTATTCTCCCACTCTGCAGAATCTGTTAGTTCAATCTCTATCCTCTCCACCCTGGAGAGAAATATCAGCTGTGCTGCTGCCATCTACACCTTTTGTTTATAGATGTTGGAGATTGGCCTGTGTTTCAGTGTAGTCCTGTTTCTCTTCTGTTTCTGTCTCTTTCCGTATGTCTGCTTCTGTCTCCTTGAACCCCAGTGGGCCTCAGCAGATGGCCGCTCACACTGAGCCTGGTTCTGCTGGAGGTTTCTTCCTGTTCAAAGGGAGTTTTTCCTCTCCACTGTCGCTACAAGCATGCTTAGTGTGAGGGATTGCTGAAGAGTCAATGAGTCGATGCAATCAGCTGGTTTTCCTTAGATAGAAAACTTTGAATCAATCTGACTGGATGATCTGGTGAACTGGAAAGTGACCTGAGATGACAGGATGTGAATTGGAGCTATAGAAATAAACTGAATAGAATTGTTTCTTCAGGATCGACGACTTTGAACCCAAATGTGAACTAGAGTTGGTCAGGTCCCTCAATCCTCCTCCTGATGCAGTATAATGATGATATCATCAAATGTGTTCCCATCTGATCTTCATCATTAGCAGGACTTGTAGAAAGGAGTGCATGTACGATTGCGGTTTAAGCTGCATCCAAAATGTTTAAATAAAACAAAACAAAAAACAAATGTGATGTTTTATAAAATAAATTCTGCTCCCCTTTTCTCCTTTCTGTGCAGGTAACCAAGACCATCTTCGCCATCCTCCTGGCTTTCATCATTACATGGACGCCTTATAATGTCATGGTGCTGATATCCACCTTCTGTCAGTCCTGCGTGCCTGACACGGTGTGGGCCATCGGCTACTGGCTGTGTTATGTCAACTCCACCATCAACCCAGCGTGTTACGCACTGTGCAACGCCACCTTCAAGAAGACTTTCAAAAACCTGCTGCTGTGCCAGTATAAAAATATAGGTACAAGATGAAGAAGATGGAGGGCGGGAGGGGGACTGGAGGGGAGGGGAAGGGAAGCGCCGTGCAGAAGGTGAGTGGCTGCTGGTTATGGTGTGAAACGGGGGGAAAACATCCATATTTTCTGGGCGCAGCTGATTCAGGGCGGAAAAACGGGAAACGTGGCTGTAAATGAAGCTTAACCAGATAAACCTGAACAGGAGCAGATCAACCCGCCGCTTTTCAGAAACCTTTCCGACTGCATGCCACACATCCGAGTTTTTCATGTAACGTAAAGCTTATTATATGGAAGCAGCGAGGGCGGTCGTATGGGTAATTGGCCGCTGGCTGTGTTCTGACACTTTTAGCTCTTAACCCAGACAGATGGAGTCGGTGCAGCATCGTTAAAAAAAGAATAAAAAGTTTGGCTTGATCCAGAACTGCTCTGATCTCATGGAGGCCTCAAGATAAATAAATAACAGTGGAGATAAAAAATGTTAGCTGGAAAAATGCTGGGGGGCGGTGGCAATTAGCTTGGTCAGCTCAGGTGGATGATTCAGATACAAGAAAAAAACAGAGAGAGTCCAATTTCTCTAAAATAAACATAAAAAACTCTCTGGTTCAGTTTAACTCCTGGCCAGAAAGCTGTTCTCACTTCTTCTCTTTCTGCTAGCCAGGCGCTAGGTACGCTTAAGCTAATGCTAACATCTAGTTAGTGCTAAATTTTTGGTTAGCATTAGCAAATATTTATTCCACCTGTCCAAAAAGGAAAGCAGCAACCTCAAATGTTCATATTTTCTAAAGTTAAAAACACAGCAGAGCATCATCAGCAGTGAATGAAATCCAAACATTCTGATGCTGTTAGCTAGAGAAACTGGATGCGCTCTCCGCCATTTTGCTTCTCTTTGGAGTTAGCGAGGGACTAAA